AGGGAAATTCTGGGATACTACCCAGATTTCATGTGGATGTTTGGGTGACACAGACATTTGGAGATGAACAAAATTGCTTGAGCCAGGTCTGGGGGTCCAAAGGCAATGTGTGCCTTGAATTTATGTCCTTTATGCAGATGAGTGGTTGTGTGTTACTAGTCCACATGACCATATCTATGAACAAGGGCATAAAGAATGTTCCATTGCAGGGCAAAGTCCTAGCTCAGCCCAAGTTCTTTCTGGTCACTTTACTTGATTCTTGCAACTCAGCACCAATTATGTCTTTATTAAGGTAACAGAGATGCATATTGGCCAGCATTTGCTCTTGGGCAATATTGTTATGCCTCTATGGTTCTCTGAACAATTCTAAGTGTTATGATCCTGGCTTAATTTCTTTGAAGGGGAGTATCCAGACTTAGCATGCCTTTGTAATATTTGCCTTACAGTAGGACCCCCTTATCCATGATATCAGTATCCACTGATTCACTTATCCACGGTCTGAAAATATAAAAATATTAAAAGAAAAAAAATATTTTCACATGTATTACCAGAACTGGCCACTTTTTATTGAAGAATACATAGCATGGTTTCTATTAATGGATATTTTTTACCCTTTTACAATGCTCTCTCTCTTTATATATATAAACAGGAGGTCACAAAAGAGGTAGAAGGAAAACACAACAGAAATAAGGCAAAGTGTGGTTTCCTTGGTCATCTATAGCAGAATATATAACTAAAACAATAAACCAGGCCTAATTAAAAAAAACATGGTTTAATGTGATGTGAATACAGCTTTCTGATGATGATCATAGTGGTGGTAGTGATGGTCATACTGAGAATGATGTTGATGATAATGATAATTAATAATATGGCCTGGTAGGTTGATAGGACCTTTATCTGAATAAGGTCCCCAAGTCATTTAGCAACTTGGTCTTCTTGTCTTACATACTGACAAGTTGACCAATGAAAAGCAGACAGTTGAAAGTATTTAGAATGGCAACAGTTCCTCAAATGCATCCTTTGTGATGACTGCTTGTCAACAGTCTTCAAGAATATACATCTATTTCTCCCTTTATTGACACTGTATTGTACTGTAATTGGAGCATTCTTTGGCACTGCCCTTCTTTGGGATTGGGATGTAGACTGATCTTTTCCAATCCTCTGGCCACTGCTGAGGTTTTCAAACTTGCTGGCATATTGAGTGTAGCACCTTAACAGCCTTATCTTTTAAGATTTTAAGTAGTTGAACTGGAATGCCATCACCTCCACTGGCCTTGTTGTTAGCCAAGCTTTCTAAGGCCCACTTGACTTCACTCTCCAGGATGTCTGGCTCAAGGTCAGCAACCACACTATCTGGGTTGTGCGGGACATCCAGATCTTTCTGGTATAATTCCTCTGTGTATTCTTGGCACCTCCTCTTGATGTCTTCTGCTTCTGTGAGGTCCCTCTCATTTTTGTCCTTCATCATGTTCATCTTTGCACAAAATATTCCTTTAATATCTTCAATTTTCTTGAACAGATCTCTGGTTTTTCCCTTTTGTATTATTTTCCTCTATTTCTTCGCATTGTTCATTTTAAAAAGCCCTCTTGTCTCTCCTTGCTATTCTCTGGAAGTCTGTATTCCATTTTCTGTAACTTTCCCTATCTCCCTTGCATTTTGTTGTCCTCTTCTCTGCTGTTTGTAAGGCCTCATTGGACAGCCACTTTGTTTTCTTGCATTTCCTTTTCTTTGAGATGCTTTTTGTTGCTGCCTCCTGTACAATGTCACGGGCCTCCATCCATAGTTCTTCAGGCACTCTGTCCACCAAATCTAGTTCCTTAATCTGTTCTTCACTTCCACTGTGTATTCAAAAAGGATTTGGTTTAGATTACACCTGTCAAGCCCAGTGGTTTTTCCTACTTTCTTCAGTTTTAGCTTGAGTTTTGCTATAAGAAGCTAATGATCAGAGCCACAATCAGCTCCAGGTCTTGTTTTTACTGACTGTATAGAGCTTTGGCTGCAGAGAATATAACAAATTTATATAGTACTTGTTAAATAAATCAATAGGAAAAGACAAATACAAGCTACTCTAGAGCTCTGGCAAGTGGATTTTTTGAATCCTATCCATCAGTACGGGAGCATTTAGGAGTAACCTGGGTAGGTGGGGCTCATCAGCCTTGGGAGGCAGCCCATCTAGGAGAAGAAAAACTCTGATTTCAAACCTCCACTGCCTTGTGGCTATATCCACTCGTGGAAAAGGCTTCGGGAGTAAACCTTGAGGCAAAATCCGGAGCTGGAGTCCCAGAGACAGTTCATGTCGTTCTGTCAACTCCTGCAACATTGCTGGAACCAGTTGTATTGGCTCTTGCCTTTCCATTGGACTATTTCAGTGATGTGGAGAGGGGGGATTTGCTGCTTGGGTAACAGCCTATCCTCCATATTCCTTTGAGTCTGTCGTTCTAACAACTCCTGCAACATCGCTGGGACTAGTTGTATTGGCCCGTGCCTTTCCATTGGACTAATTCAGCGATGTGGAGAGGGGGGATTTGCTGCTTGGGTAACAGCGTATCCTTCATATTATTTTACCCAGGCTTCGTGCTCTGGAGAGTACACTCCAGCTTCGCATACAGTGTCGAAGCAAAATCAGGGAGCTGGACAGGGGACAGATTGTATTTGTTTTCAGTGTGGAAGGGATGGTCACTCTCAAATTGGCCTTCTCAGCCACACTAGACGCTGTTACACGTCCTCCATACAAAGCACGTTACCATAGTCTCTCGAGACTGAAGGATGCCTACATTAATTGACACTATTCTAACAGCCATGCTGTTTTTCTCTTAATTTATGCGTACAGAGATATCAGACCCCACTCAAGCAGGTAGGATGACACTAGCCACCAAAGACCATTAAGAGGAACTACTTACACTCAGACCACTACACAAAAGCCTTGAAAGATGTTGATATTGTATAGCCCAAACTCTGGTTGGTCCCTAGAGTTTGCTGGCACCTTAACTAAAGCTTCAGGTAAGCAGGAAAAAAGCACAGCAAAAGAACAGAAAGGGGGCAGGCCAATAGCTACCATTTCGCCCTTCCTCCCCACCCCACCCCCCAATCTGAAGCTTCCACCCCACAGTGAGCTAAGGCAGTCACAGGCTTCATACTTCCGCTATCAAAAAGCCACAAAAGGAAATACTGCTTTTTGAAATGCACTACAGTCAGCTCTAGTAAGCTTTTTCAGTTTTCAGGAAGGGCTGCGGTCTCCTGGATAGGAGAAAAGATTGTCCACCTTGGTGCTTCAGCAGCATGGCCTTGTAATGGAGTGAGCCGAGGACGATGGGATCCCGGATCAAGTAAGCCCAGGGGCAGGGTGCTGTGAATAACTGGGGTGGATCATCCTGTCTAGCTTGCTCAGCTTCAGCTTGTTTCAGCTCGAGTTTTGCAGGGCTCAAAGATCAGCCCCCGATTTCTGAACTTCTCAGATGTTTTGTGAGGGATGTGGGTCAGGAAGACCACCTACAATGCTACCAAGCAAGCTTGCTGTGGGGCAACTTTTCCAGTGTTGCACTACTTTTACTAGCACCTCGGGGAATATTGCTGACCCACTTGCTGAGTCAGGCCTGGTAGTAGCCCTGAAAGGGCTTAAGAGTGTCCCAAAATACCATGGCTGATAATCTTCAGTAAGTGCAGTAAAAAAACTTGGTAACCTGGACACAGGAAGATCTCGGTTTTAACAGCTGAGATCAGGGGAGGTTGTGGAACTCCCACCTACAGGAGATCAGTCTGATCCCCTCTTTGCTTCCTTCCACAGGCAGGCGAATACTTTTCTCTTCAGGCAGTCTTTTTCTCAGTGACTGGCTGCCTAAGACTTGATAAGCTTTTTTCGTTCTCTTTCGGATGGATGCGGTTGTTTATTCATCCCCTTCCCTTTCCAGTTTTTATATTGTTGGTTTGTAATATTGTAAGCCCTCTTGAGAAGAAAGGTGGGGGTATAACAATTTTAAATAAACACATGAATGAATGGATGGATGAATTTATGGCCCTCTTATGCTAAGCCTCATAGGAATTCTGTTGGACTACAGTTCCCATGAGCCCTAGACAACAGAACCAATAATGGAAGATGATGGGAATTGTGACTCAACCATGTCTGGGAGGCCAATCCATTGCTCACCCCATGTTGTGATCACCATGTGGTGCAATCCTTGGAGGAACGGCAGGACCCATGTCTGGGAGGCCAACCCATGTTGTGATCACCGTGTGGTGCAATCCTTGGAGGAACGGCAGGAACTAGGGAGTGGTTGGGGGCTTGACAGCTATTTTATGAAACTTTCCTTCATTAACTCAGAGCACGGGTCTACTAGGACCTATTCCAGCTGGCAAGTGGAGAAGATGGCCAGAGGTAAGGGCCTCCCTAGACCTGCAACGGTCAGGAATCTTTTAGTTGGAGGTATGCTGAGGTTTGTAGCTGGGACTTTTTGCATGCAGCACATATTGAGCAGATTTCCTTTAAACTCTCTCATGTGGTTATTGAAATCATGGGAGACTGTTGTACCTTGCTGCCAGACCACTGACCATTAGAAACAGCAAGTGGTCAGTGGCAGCACCAAACAGGAAGTGAAGCACACACTTCCTGCCCACTTACTCCAGCAGCTGGTTGACTTCCTGCCTGCCCTCAATTGCTAGGTTTCTTTGAAGGAAAGTCATTTTTTCAGGTACACATCATTAATCAACTGGAAAGTCAAGTAAGGCTGCAGTCTGAAGTATACGGAAAAGTTAGATGAGATTCACCCATACAAAATATACTGCTCTTTCCCTTCTACCCCTCAGAGCTAAAGTGCACGCCGTTCCTTCTGTGTCATTTTTTTGGGCTTACTGACAACACTACTGCCCATCTGGACTGGTAGACATTCCCCAAGTTCCTTCCGCCAGCTCTGGTTCTGATACCCCCTTTTTAACCACAGATGCCAGGGAGGGTTAGGAGGAAGTCTGTCTGCTCTAGGATCTCCACCACACAGAGATGGAGGCTGGTCTCTCCTCCCTCATGTGAAAGTCAGCTTAAGCGTTTCAAACAGTCTTGGAGTATTGCATCACTAGCACAACAACATGAAACAAACAGCACATTGTGGGCATGGGTGTTCACAGATCCAGGAAACAACTGTGTTATAATAACCCCTTCTCCATGCGAGTCTAATTAGGGCCTGTCCAGACAGGGGAAGTTGGAGCTTTCTGGTTTGCACTTAAAAGGTTCCTATCTTTAGCACAATCTGTTTTATCTCTCACTTGAGCGATCTTTCCATTCACACTGGACATGTTGATTCTTCTGTAAGAAGGGTGCATGCAGTCCTTGGACTGCTGGTTTACTTGTGTGCAAAGTTCACGTGGTTTACTCATGAGTAACACAGCAGCTGTGGCAGTCACGTTTATGATGGTGGTGCTGGCACAAGGGGAAAATGTTGGGGTGAAGGTTGGGGAGATGGAAGGAGATACACTCCCCAAATTTCTCACCTATATCTTCAGCCAGGGCTCTGTTGAGGTTGTGTTTCATTGTGGGGGCAAAAGCCCATGAATTCAACATAGCCCCCTTCCCTGCATTTTCTTACATTTGTCATTCAACAGTTTGCTGTGACTTGCCTTTTTCTCTTTTTCTTTTTTCGTGGTGTATTAAAAGATCAATGCATGATATTTGAATTGTGCTGCATCAGTTAGGGATATATTTTTGAAAAGAGAGATGAAGATAAAGAAGGTTTCTCCATCCTCCCTTTTAATGTCACAATTCACCTATTACATTATAGGGTTGTCACCTCCGATCATGTTACCTACAGCTCTATATGGGTGCAAACTAGCCATCTGTACAGGCTACACAATGGGATAATTAGGAGTGTACTGAATTGTGCCAAAAAACCAAGAAGTTCCTAGCCCCTGTACATGAAAGGAGCAGGACCGCTCTTAAAGGTACCAGTTGGATTGGTCCAAGTAAAAATATGCGTGGACAACACAATTTGGTTCAAACCAAACAGCGATCCAAATACCAATCTATATACTTGTCTGGACAGGCCCTAAACCTCATCAAAATAGTGTATTTCCCTCCTCCCCATCCCAAGAGACATTGGCAAGATTTCATCAAGGTGGCAGAAAGGAAAGGAGGACTCTCCCAATATTGCTCTCCCAATATTGTTAGACCACAATTACACAACTCCTAACAACTGGCCATGATGGTTTATCGGGCTTTATGGGATTTGTAGTCCTACAACATCTGGAGGCTCATACATTCCCTACTCCTGGTTTCAGTTGAGACAAGACAATGGCAAGATTTCATCAAGGTGGCAGAAATGAAAGGAGGACACTTCAGGGATCTCATTTTGCAGCAATGATGAGGTGCTCTCCCAATATCGTTAGACCACAACTTACACAACTCCTAACCACTGGCCATGATGGTTTATCAGGCTTTATGGGATTTGTAGTCCTGCAACATCTGGAGGCTCACACATTCCCTACTCCTGGTTTCAGTTGAGACGCTAAACACAGTATGTTCTTGAATACTAAATACTGGTGGTGCTAGAATTTTCCAGGTCCTAGGAACCAGGTTTGTCTCTGTCATCTGCAATTCTATTTGGCCATGTTAAGGTGGGATGAAAATGTTTGGAAATGACACAGAATCTTCAGCTGGCAGCTCTTGATCCACAACACAGTCCCCCCCCCTCAACCCAAGTGAAAGTGAATCACCACCATTGTCTGAGTAGAAAGAGCATCAACTATGGAACATAAACAGTCAAAACTGAAGAATAGAATACTGTAGCATTCCATGAGATTTTTATTTTCACTCTCTTAGACACCATGGCTCCAATTGGCTCTGCCATTTAAAAAAGCCGTGTGAAGTACAGCCATCTGAGCACACACCTCATAATTCATTATGCTCCAAAAAATTGTGTTTTTGCCCAGAGTGGGAATATTTCCTCTCTTTCTGGGAATACAACTCCAAGAATCCTTGCCCATGGTGCTCATGAGATGTTGGCTATTGTAGTCCAAAAATCAGCCATTCTATATTCTCTGGTCTATGTTTAGAGCAGTTTTGGGTTCACTGATTCCTCTTGTCTCTCCAGAGAAAATCCACAGAAAATATTTGATCTCTTCTTTGAGGCTGCTTGTCCAACTCCTGAAGATGATGGTGAGTCTTAACACTGATGGGTGGAGATCTTTTGGGAGGATGGTGAGGAGTGGGGCCATCCCTGTCATTAGGGAGAAAGACAGAGGCAGCTGTTTTCCCCTCTCAAAGCCTCCATCTGTTCACCTCTGTTGAAGAGTGAGAGGCCTGTACTCCTTCCCTAGACACGTCTGGTGCCCCCAGGTGAGGACTCTTTTCGATTACAGTACCAGTGTAAAAGGGCTGTGGTCTTCTCCATGCACTTGCCGTGAAACATCTCAGAAGCATTTAGCTGGCCAACACTGAAAACCAAGTACAAGATTTTGATTTTATTATTTTAGGTTGTAATCCTGCATCCATTTGTCTAGGAATAACTCCAATTAAACCAAATGAAATTCATTAGGATTGAGTAGACATGTATAGGATCGTGCTACCTACCCCATTCAGAAGGCCTGTCTTCTTCCATTCAGTTCTGTGTGTAGATCAAACCCAATCATCTAAACAGATTAGGTAATCACGGAGGGCAGGACTGTTCAGGAGGCACCGGCGTGTCCATTCAAATGCCATGTTTCCCTTAGCCAGCACGTGGGGTGAGCAAAGAGCTGCTGCTGGAACTGTTTTGTGTTTACATTCTCCAACGCAAGTGTGGGCGCAAAGTTAGGCAGCTGTAAACCCCTGTTAGGAACTGCCCTGTTTTAAATGGCTCTATCCAGGTTCAGAGGTGCCCTACCCTCTGCTCTGTAAAGTTAAGAATAAACTAAAAAGTTGGCATTGCAACATTTACTGTTGGCCCTCAAAACCAAAATCAACAACAGCAATAGGAAGACCAACCCAAGAGATACCTTGAGCTGTTTGTGGCTTCTGAGGCAAGCACAGAAGTATCCCTAACATAGATTATGATCAAAGTTTTTGCCGTGTAAGAGTGAAGACTCCAATTGCAACCTTGAGCAAAAGCTGGGTGGAGGTTATTAGGTAGGCACTGCTTTCATCTGTGTCCCAATTTGCTATCAGTAACTTGCTGCCAAAGGCAAAAAAATGAGATGGCATTCACTGCCTTCCATTCTACGCACAAAAGCTATCTGGGCTGGCAGTTGGTGATGGGACAGCATCTTCCACCACATCTGAAAAAAGCAGGTTTGCTTAGGAGACAGAGGCAGGCCACACTTAGCACCTAACTTTCTCCTCCAACACACTGATACTGCCTTCCAGCATCTGTTGCTGGAGGCCACCACCCCACTCTGCTTATGGGTAGAGCCGGCTTTATTCAGTGGTCCATGGTATGGCTGGCTCCTGCCCTGTTTTTTTACAGAACTTCAAAGTTTTCATAGGCAGGCCATCTATATCTCCTTACACCATCATCCCTCTTATTTCTAATATGCTCCGAGCATCCCTATTGAATGGTGCCCAACTGTAGCACTCTCTCCTCTTTCCTGCGGTTTTCTCCAGATGGTTGGAGACAGCAGTTGGGTAGTTGTTAAAAATAATAAGAAGAGGGGAACTGGAAATCATCGTATAAGTGGTGCTACTGAGAGGCTGCCTTGCATGCAAAACCCCACCCCTGCCCAGAGACAACACAAGGCAGCATGAAGCCCTTTCATCATTTCCTGCCAGACTCTCTCCTTCCTGTGTGTGAGTGTGCATGCGCTTGAGACCACATTGGTTAGTTTCTGAAATGGAGGTGCTGAGAGCATGCCTGCCTGCTGCCTGAAAGGCCGACTCCGAGGCACAGCGGTTGTAGGGCTATGGCTGCACAGTGCCACATGGAAGGCTGTGCAGAACGAAGGCACTCTTTATTGCAGAGTATGGCAGAGATACTCTTTTTTTGTACTATAGTGCACAGAAATAACTGTACTGACTGCAGATTGTGTGTCCCCTTAAAAGTAACTATTCTGAGATCTGATGGGTTGTTGTTACTTTTCATACACTGAGTGACAGCGCTGAAAATAACTGTCGGGTCAGAGCACTGCTGACACCTGGCTGATATTAAACCATGTATTTTGCAAAGGTACTAGGTCCCATGGGTCTGTTTAAGGAGCTTACTGTAAACCATACACTCCTTGCACAGTATGAATGTTTTTGATCTAGAGTTTCTTCAGACGGGCTTCTGTGTCCCAAAAGTTGAGAGAGAAGTAGCAGAGTTTCCAGCTTTTGTAATATTGTATTATCACACCATTTTTACTTAATTGCCATTTGCACATTACTGAAGCTCTTTTGCCTGCTGTATCAACTATGTTTCTATAATCTGCAAGAAAGAGTCCTATAGTGGCTTTTGGATGAATCCAACATGAGATTCTCCAAAAATTCCAGGAAAAGCAGTCCCCAAATCCAATGTGCAGACTTGTAGAGTTTGCCCACCTGCCTCTCTGAGAAGGGCATTAAAGTTAATTACTTGCACCATGAGGTTCTCAGACGTTTGCTTCTTCTTGTTGTTGTTTAAAGGAAACTGCCATGATTCTCCTTGGGAATTGTAGTCTTGCTGCCCATTACGCTTTATAGAAGGTACCTCCCAAACAACTATAACTCCCAGTTGTTGTTGTGTTAAATCAGCAACAGAGAACAAAGACCTAAGAAGCTGATGATGCAGACAATCAACTTAAAAGCCATTCTACAGTGGGCAGGGAAACCTGTAGGTGTGCAGATTTCACTTTGTGGGCTGTAGTTCCTACAATTCTTCAAGAATATTGGGTCTTGAAGTCCAAAAATATGAATGAGCATAACCCTAACCATTATAACTGCAACTCAAGCACATTCTGAAACATATGCTATCTGGTCTATAACTCCTTTGTATCCACACATCCACACATTTCCATGTTTTGGCCAGTCACAATATTTGCAATCCCAAGAAGTCACAATATTTGCAGTCCCAAGAAATAATTTTTAATGTCTCCATTCTGCATATATCCATTCTACAGATATGAGGATAGGCTTCTCAGTCATTAAGCTGGAAGAGGGGACTTGATTCAGAGTGGCCCTCGTGGTGCCTTCTGGCCGTCCCCAAGCTGTGCTTCCATATAAAGCCACTGGAAAGGTATTCTGTGTTTGAAAGGCTGACCTTCTCTCTCTCTCTCTCTCTCCATGCAGATCCTCAAGTGCTCAGGCAGTTTCCTCAGGAGTTCGATGACCAGGTCTGTTCTCTTTTGCAAGGGGGGGGGGTGCACAGCAACTCCGCCATCACTTTCAGTCCTGTGCTAGAGTTGCCGCCTTTTCCCTACGGTTCTTTGCACAACTTTAAAAGCAACAGGGGCAATGAGGATAAGCCAGCATTCCAAAGGATCCTGGCTTACCGATGAACTTGCTGCATGCTGGGAACATGGGCTGCTTGATCTAAATGACTCCTTCTTGCTGGTTGAGTAGTCCTACCAATGTCATTGCTGGGAGCCACTGAGGTCCTTACCAACACTACAGTGATGGGCACAAAGCCCTGTGGCAGTAGTCCCCAACCTTGGGCCTCCAGATGTTCTTAGACTACAACTCCAAGAAGCCTTCACCACCACCTCTGCTGGCCAGGATTCCTGGAAGCTGACGTCCAAGAACATCTGGAGGCCCAAGGTTGGGGACGATTGCTCTATGGTACTCTGAGAGACACCCAAGCACCCCTATGTACTATAAATCCCTGCAAACTAACTGGGTGGAACATTTATTTCCTTCCTTCCTTCCTTCCTTCCTTCCTTTCTTTCTCATAGGCCAAGGTGGGGGGATTGCCCACATCTGGGCTATACCAACCAGACATTGCTGCCATCTAAACCAACCTAAAGTCTTCTGGCTTCTTGCTCCCAAACCAACCAAGAACAGAGCCAGGTTTACAAGGTTGGCTTGGGCAGGGCTCAACAAGTCAGGAACCTTGGTTCAGAAAGCAGACTAAGCCATCTGTTTTTGGTTAGTTTTCACTGGCATTCAAGGTTCAAGAGTTGCTTGCAAATCTAGATTAAATTAACAAGGATACAGAATTATTCAGCAGCAGCAATTAAAACAGCTTTATATAGGCCAAGGTGTGGGGGGGGTTGCCCACATCTGGGCTATACCAACCAGACATTGCTGCCATCTAAACCAACCTAAAGTCTTCTGGCTTCTTGCTCCCAAACCAACCAAGAACAGAGCCAGGTTTACAAGGTTGGCTTGGGCAGGGCTCAACAAGTCAGGAACCTTGGTTCAGAAAGCAGACTAAGCCATCTGTTTTTGGTTAGTTTTCACTGGCATTCAAGGTTCAAGAGTTGCTTGCAAATCTAGATTAAATTAACAAGGATACAGAATTATTCAGCAGCAGCAATTAAAACAGCTTTATACTGTATATAGATCACAAAAGTAGCTAGCTAGTAACCCAGAAATGCACAATGCAGAATATTTTGCTTTATTTTTAGGTTGTCTTTGACCAAATGGGCTGGCTGGAACTGCTGGGCAGGCTTCCTGTTCTTCGTGGTTAGCACAGAGACCAAAGGGAAATAAAGACTTGTTTATCCTCTGCCAGTCTTCTTACTTGCTAGGAGGGAATTCCTTGTCCTATGCAACTATCCAATAGCTTTTAAAATGTGAGGTTGCATTAACAACTTGGAAGGGAAATTTTTTAAAGAAAAGTAGGGAGAGGCAGTAGGGACTAGTGGTTAAAGAAGTGGGCTATGTCTTGGGAGCTCCAGGTTTGTGTCCTCACTGAGCTATGAAAGCCACTGGGTGATCTTGGGCTAACCACTCTGTATGGCCTTACCAGCTTTACAGTGTGGCTGTTGTGATCACAATTGGGGGAAGAAGAAGCCCTCTGTGTTGCCCTGAGCTCATTGGACAAAAGACAGGGCATAAGCACAATGTAGAAATAAATAATAAACAAATAACAAGAAAGAAGGGATGGGCAATCTAAACTGGTGGGAAACAGCTCTGGGTATTCCTGCATGCCTGAGCACACTGAGGGGCTGACTACATTGACAAATAATGTAGGAAATTTTCCAGGATTGGGACAGTCAGATTCATGCTATTTTTTGTTGACTACATGATGTACAAATCAATACTGTACAAGTCAGACTGGAGTTTTCTCCCACCCTTAATCTACACATTTTTCTGGGGCTTCAAAGTTTTTGAAAGTGAATGCATTCATGCTGCTGTTACAGGCAGCATGATTGCTTGGGCCAAGGCAACTTGATGGCTGAATGGGTGACCAAAAGCTGACTCTCCCAGTTTCCTTGCTCAAGGTGGGGAGAAAAGAAGTGAAGGGGTACTTGTGGCGGTGTCAGTTCCGCTCAACCAAGCACCAAGGTGTCTCCAAAGTGTTTGGTTTTTTTTAGAGGTTTGGTGCCAGCACTCATGTGTTGGGGAACCTAGAAAACCAAGAGAGAGAAGAGGAAGTCAGCAGTCAGCCCCTGTTTAGAAGACTAGCTGGGAGAAATCTATTTGCTTTAGCCAACTAGACAGGAGTCAGAGAAAAGGAAATTGGCAGCTGGCCCCTGTTTGCAGCTTGTTAAAGTAGCTCTGCTGTAGCTGTGCCTCTTGCAAATCTGGACAGCTATAGTCCAGCTGCTTTACAAGCAAGGGCTGACTACCAATTTGTCCTCTCTCTCTCTCTACTGACTTCTGTTTGGTCAGCTAAAGTGAATTTCCCCAGGGAAATATGACTTCATGTGTGATTTGACAATGGATTATGTTGCATTTTTCCTGCTGTCTGGTCACACCCAGAACAGCAAGCAGACAGGAATGCACACCTTATAGGCAAGCAGTGGGAGGGAGGGGAGACTTTATACTAACCATTGGGAATCTTTGTTGTCATTAATAGAACAAAAGAGGCTAACATTAACAATCCTCAGGCTTGTCATTAAGAACTTTGTGAGGCAAACTGTGAGTTACATCGTCAACCTGGCACTGTCCCTGTTATTAATCTTAAGAACATTCGAAATAACACCAGCAACATCAAGTTTAGAAAAATTTAAAAGGACAAGGTGGCGAGGAGGGAGATGACAGATCTGGACTTTATGTGGGTTTATTTGTGTGTTTTTTTTAAAGTTAAGTTCATATATGGTTCTTTGTATGGGGACTTTTAATTATATTATTGAATGGGATTTTTAAAAAAATTATAATATTGTATAATATTGTATATGTTATATTTGCTTTTGCACTCTCATGTAAGTGTTATTATTTAGGGTTTTGCTTGTTGTTTTCCCTTTCTTTTTCTTCTTTTTTGACATGGTGTGGAAGGCCTGTCTTCCCAGTGAGGGGCCTTTTAACATTCCGGTGATCACGGGCAGAGGGAGATATGGCGTTGGCATGGTCCCCGCTCGTGTCAGTAGAACAATGAACAGATGCTTGAAGGCTGTTCATTGTTCTGAGACTGTGACCAACCCCCAATATTGAGGTAGCCAGCCCAGCCTTCCCTCCACTCTAACCCTGGTACTTCTGAATGCCAGGTCTGTATCCAATAAAACACAGTTGATTTACGATCTTATCCTGGAAGAGGATGCAGACTTGGCATGTATAACCGAAACGTGGATAGGCGGAGAGGGGGGTCCTCCCCTTGCTCTCATATGTCCGCCCGGTTATGCTGTTCAGCACCAGGGTAGACCGGAGAGGCGGGGGAGGAGTAGCCATTGTCTATAAATCCAGCCTTGAGGTTACCAGGCACTCCTCGGTGGTAAAGCCAGGTCTAGAGGCTCTCCACGTGTCAATTGGGGCCAGGGATGGTATTGGGATTTTGCTGGGTTACCGCGCTCTCCGCAACCCAGCCACTTCCCTTCCGGAGCTGGCCGACTTTAAAATGCAGAACGCTGTTTTAATAGTGAACACTATACAGTACATGGTCTCTGCCTCCATCTAGTGGCCAGTTCTGGTAATGACACCATAGAAATCTATTTCTCAGTAAGTGCTATACTCACCACTGTCTCTGGTTCCCTCTAGTGGCCAGTTTTGCTAACTTCATTATATATATATTATAGATATAGACCATGGATGAATCAGAATAGATCCTGACCGTGAGGATAAAGGGGTCACATTGTATTTACATGCATTCTCAAAACAAGATCTGTGCATGTAGGCACCTGTGTATCCTGGGGCTTGAGCCGCTCCTCCTCTCTCCCTTCACTAATATTTCTGACACTTAAGAAGCAGCGGCAATAGTTTTGTTTCTAGGTGCAGGCCTTTTGCGTTTAAATGAAAGACAAAATCATGGAAGAGGCGTCATATAATTCATGTTTATGAAAGAAGGATACATGAACGTTTTGTGTTTCCTACTTTGTCTAACCTTTAAGTACACATGCATCTTTTTTCTGTCAAACTGTCTGAGAACTTTTTCATCCAATAGTGTTGCAAGGGCTGTCAGCATCAGCAGCAAATCAGAATGTGGAGGGAATGGGACTTTTGAATCTACATAAGGGTCTGGAACCCAGTGAGCTCTTTGCTTCAGTTGTTACTCCATGCTGGTGCACTTGGTAGGAAGGAGAGAAATCTCCCGATGTTCAAAAAGTTTTGTTTGGGAGGGGAGTATAGATGGGGATAAATGTTTAAAAATGGCAATTTGTTTTGATCCATTATTCGTCAAGGTTAACGGATCAACAAATACAAATATACGAATATTCTTCGATGAATCAACAGATCAATCTGTCGATTTATCTGCACTTTAAACAGCTATAACGCTGGCCCCCAACGACCTAGAGGCACCAAATCTGCAGGAAAGATTCCCCACAGGTACTTAGAGACTCCAGAATCACAACTGAGTTTCCTATGTACGATGACTTGTTGAGGGAGGCCGACAGGGGTAAGACGTCTTTGTTGGTCCTCCTCGACATCTCAGCGGCCTTCGATACCGTCGACCACAGTATCCTCCTGGGGAGGATCTCCGAGTCAGGTATCGGAGGCCTGGCTTTGGCCTGGTTCCACTCCATCTTGGAGGACCGCCCCCAGAGAGTGCAGCTAGGTGAGAGTGTTTCGGCCCCGTGGAGCCTCAAATGTGGGGTTCCACAGGGGTCGGCTATCTCCCCAATGCTGTTTAACATCTATATGAGGCTGCTGGGTGGGGTCATCAGGGGGTGTGGAGCATTGTGTCATCAGTACGCTGATGACACCCAGCTCTACATCTCCTTTGTTCCAACAGCAGGTGATGCCGTCCTGTCCCTTCAGCACTGCCTGGAGGCTGTGCTGCAATGGATGCAGGAGAACTGGCTGCGGCTGAACCCGGACAAGACGGAAGTTCTGAGTAGGTGCCCCTGTTGTGGGCAGCCTGGGTGACTCTCTCTCATTTGGGGGGGTGGCCCTGGCTGCGAAGAGTGCGGTTCACAGCCTGGGGGTACACCTGGACCCGACGCTCACCATGGAAATGCGGATTGCCCGGCTGCGTCCTTACCTAGACACGAGGGCGCTCACTACCTTAGTACATGCGCTCGTAATCTCTAGATTAGACCACTGTAACGCGCTCTACGTGGGGCTCCCTTTGAAGCTGACGCGGAAACTTCTCGGCGGTGGCTCCTCGCCTCTGGAATAACCTTCCTCCAGCAATTTGTGCGGCCCCTACGCTGGGCATATTTAAGAGTCAACTAAAAACATGGTTATATGTTCAGGCCTTCCCTCCTGTCAATGCTTAATTTCCTTTCTCTTTCCATTTATTATTTGTTTTATTATATGTGATTTTGTTTATCTGAAAAAAATTTTATGCACTGTATACTTTTATGGAAGCCGCTCAGAGTGGTCAATTTGACCAGATGAGTGGGATATAAATCAAATAAATAAATAATAAATAAGTAAATACTGTAAATACTGCCCATTCTTTGCACTTAGTGCCTATACTGTGATATATATGTATAACTTAGGTGTTGATTGTTTGTATCAATTTTAATGGGCTCCAAATGTGACTGTAAATTGTAAATTGAGATCCAAACTACTGATCTTAGAATAAGTCCCACTGAACTGAATGGGGCTAACTTGTGAGTTGGAGTACCCAGTGTGGTGTAGTAGAAGATTAAGTGATGGGATAGGACTGAGGAGACCGGTTTGATTTCTGACTTTGCCATGGAATATTACAGGGATGGGGGGTGGGAATTGGTAAAAACACTCCTTAAATACTTCACCTACCTTCAAAACCCTATTTGGGCCGCTATGAGTTAGTTCTGACTTGACCACACGTAACAATACCTTCTGAGTACACAAGAAATGCACGTTGGTCTCTAAATGCTCAAGGGGTTTCCATGCAATACAAAGTCTTCCCCTGGATTCCCATTTCAGTATTTCTGTGTTCAGCTTGATGTATGCCCTGTAATAACTAAGATCTCTTTGCTCTTTCCTTAGGAATCAATCCAGATGCTCCCCAGGTTTTGTTTCCCTTTTGACATAGAAAGGTATGCAAAACCCTGCAAGAATAGGGGCTTCCCTGCTAACACAGGCTTACTTTCTACCCCTCAGGGTTTCCTCCTTTCAGTTTAAGGTTACTAACTTTTCTGATAAGTAATTTGTCTGGTTTGTTTCCTCAGATCAGGCAACTATTTACTGTTAACAGTGGACATTTTCAAAACCACCGAGAGTGTCCTGCCCCCTTTAATTCAAAAATCAAAAATAAACTAAACTACTAACTTTTCTGATAAGTAATCCGTCTGGCTTGTTTCCTCAGATCAGGCAACTATTTACAGTACTGTTAACAGTGGACATTTTCAAAACCACCGAGAGTGTCCTGCCCCCTTTAATTCAAAAATCAAAAATAAACTAAACTAATTCAGAAATTGCATGTACCATAGCTGTTGCAACGTTAGGGAACCCTACCTTAAAGGAGGGTTGGCGGGATAAGTCGAATTTAACTTACTGGTAGATAGTTAGATGAGTTACCAAGGATTTCTGACTTTGGTAATTGTTTAACAACAGCAGTGAGAAGGATGAGGTATCAACTTGAAGGCATGGTACGCCATTGGGAATAGATTTTTGTGTGAAGGACTATGACCTTTATTCTGGTAAAAAAAGAAAGAAAGCTAATTCTGTAAGACAAGCTGGCCCATACCACCTGACAGAACACAAGATGAAACTGCTCAGCTACAATTCACTGGCAAATAATTCAAGGGGGTGGGGGTGGGCAGCTTGCTTCTTACAGGAAAGGATTGCCCCACAACGTGTTTATGGGAAACTGAATTGCTATGCTAATTTTTCACCAGGAGCCTCAGTTGGGTGGTCTGGGACATACCCACTCACATTGGATTCCATATTGTAAGAAGAGGCCAGCTATTTCAGGCCAAAAGGCCACCCTTAATGGCAACCCAAGGCTCGTGGGAAACCCACAAGCTAGTCACGAATGCCACAGAACCCCCCTGTTTGCGTTCCTTAGAAACTGGTCTTCAGACGTGACTCCATGGTGCAGGAGGGCCTAAACCTCCTTCCATGAATTGCTCCCACTCCATTGAGCCCTGCTCAAGTGGCTGACAATCAGCTTGCTAACCTCTTATGGCAGCAGATGCCAGCCTTTTAGAAAGTATATGCTGTGTGGGGAAGGGGTACAGTATTTCCTTTTCGCCCTTCTGAATCTCTCCCCCTTCAGTTTCCATAGATGACCCTGAAGCCATAGCTAACTCACTGGGGGGGGGGGGGCTCCATCCCAAGTGAGGGAATGAAGCATCCCCAACTCCATTTTGGCTAGGAGTTGCCCTCATCTTATGAGGCTTTATTATTTCAATTTGAGGATTATGAGATTTCTTCCATGTCACGCAGCATTTTATTTACGCCTCCAGTTTGTCATGGCTTCTGCTTAGAAATGAAACAGTTATTGCTTTTGCTTTGTTGGCTCCACAACACAGAACATGATTCACCCTCAGGTGAATTTACTCTTTAGTAAACTAAATGACAGCATCATGCATTGGACTTAATAAGATGCTGCCCACAAAAATATATGTAATAATAAACTGAGCCTAGTTTTGTAAGCTCTAGTTCTAGTTGGGTTTCCCTCTCCGCACTTCTCCTGTTGCCTCTTTTACACTCTTCCCCCATTTCCTGCAAAGGGTCAAGGAGAGCCCCACGGTCCAGCATTTCACTTTTGCCCTCACCGACATGGAGGGGAAACAACGCTTCGGGTTCTGCCGACTGGCCGTTGGTGTCCGCAGCTGCCTGTGTCTCCTCAGGTAAGGGGGTTCGCTCTAGCTTAGTTTTTTTCTCACAGGAAGGATTTTTTTAAAAAAAAAATTACTCAAAAGAGCCATGTCATTCAGGTGTAAAAACAAAAATCTGGATTGGGGAATACGTTTATAGGATTGCTACAGAGTCCTGCATGACTTTTGTTTTGCTTTGTTCTGTTTTGGTTTGTTTTTGTTTTATTTTAGGATATAGATATTATAAAAATAGGGGACTAAAGATCAGACAGGGAAATAGATCATCTTTTGTACCTCTTGTGGAGTGGGTCAGTGTGATTTATTTCCCTGTAGTTATGGGACTTATTGGGGGAACATCCTGTAGCCCAACCTAGACCCATGTCCAAGCTGTACCAGAGGCTTTGACCCAAGCCACAGTACTGCTTCTGTGGATCCCTCCATTGCTTTGGTGCGGCCTACAGGCCCATTTTACTAGCTCACAGTAGAGAAAGGGGTATCGACACAGTAGATTTTATGTCTAACAAGCAAAAATTTGAATGTACAGGTGAGCTTTACCGTGGCGCACATACAGAAGCAATTTTGATAAATTGGTATTCAGGAGGATCCAGGCATAAGGGGTGATCTTAGTGAGGCAAAGAGCCACGTTTCAGATCTGCCAAATGTTCAGTCATTAACAATACTCTCAAGGGCACAGGCTCAAGAAGTGGGGCACGGCCAAAGAGGCTAATTTGCATCTTTTAATTTTTTGTTTTAATGGGCACGGCCAAAGAGGCTAATTTGCATCTTTTAATTTTTTGGAGTGGGGCATGGCCAAAGAGGCTAATTTGCATCTTTTTTAAATTTTTGTTTTAATGCTGTTATTTTAAGCATATTGCTACAGTTACGGCTCTAGAAGATCCATGGATCTTCCCACCCAAATTTTATTCCCCACATACTCCTTCCCTTAAATGGCAAAATGGGATAACAATGCTGATCAATCTTACCAGGTTGTTTGCAGGATAAGGTATGTGTGAGGCATGGAAGATTTGAGAGCTCTCTATGCATTCTAAGTTTCATTCACCAATGGCCTTGTAGGTAAAAAATGTGATTGCCTTCATATTGCAGATGGGAGGCTAAAAGAGAGAGAGTGAGAGTGAGTGTGTGTGTGTGTGTGTGTGTGTGTGTGTGTGTGTGTGTGTGTGTGTGTGTGTGTGTGTGTGTGTGTGTGTGTGTGTGTGTGTGTCTCCCTCCATAGTAAGATCTGAACTAGGGGTTTCCAAGTTCACAGCTTAATCCCTTACTTTCTCTACAAAAGTTGATCGGACCTTCCTCATACACGATATTGGCATGTGAAATAAATGTTATTCCATTTGCAGTTATCTGCCCTGGTTTGAGGTTTTCTACAAGATCCTGAACTACATTGCTGACAATTTAGTCAAGGAACAGGTGAGCATGGGAATTTTAGTTTCCTTTCAAAACCTTGTTGAACTTCCTATGTTGCTATACTGACCCTTATCCCGGCTTCTATTTATTTTTTTCACTTAAAGACTCAACCTCTCTCCGCCTTTTTCTCCTACACCAGTTCACACAGCTGGATGAGTTCTTATCAGCACTGCATGCCCACCCTGTACCTCATCTGGGCAGTCCCATCAGCCTGGAATTTGTAAGTATTTGTAGATATTCCCTGATGTGGGAATATCTACTGCCACCTGTATGCTAGACCCTAAAGACATCCACAAATGTTATTAAGACAATTATATTGTTTTGTCACCAGGGTAGAAGGTCTTTTTCTGAAACTGTATTCAACAGCTGTTTGGGAGGCTATAGTTCAACAGGTGCAGTTATTTCTTGCACCACCATACACCAATGGAAACAATTATGTTCTCCAAAAGCCAATATACACACCAGCAAGAAAACAAACAAAATGTGATCTTAAATACTTTGCATTTATTATCCAGATTTTTAAAGATGAACTGTAAGTAGAATTTATGAGAGCTGAGCAGGGCTGTCAAGGACAGGACATTTTGAAGGTCACTTATTCATAGGGTCCCCATGACTCTGTGGAGACTTGGGGACAGGTAACAACAACAAGGAGTTTGGGAAGTTACATTAATCAGCAGGATCACAGAAGTTTGTGAGAGAATGTAACTATTTCTTCCCTTATTGCAAACTCAGGAACCATCTCTGTTTTTGTGAAGTTGAAATATGCAACAGGAGAAATTCTCGCCCTGGTGCCCTTTAGGCCTTGCCTGAATATTGTACAGTTCTCCATGGCTGAAACCCTGTTGCTGCTGAGTGTAGTAAGTCACAACTAGAGTAGGCCTATTGAATCCATGGGGATTTGCTGAGTCAACTCTTCTGTAAGTTCCATAGATTCAATGCGCCTACTCAAGTTGCAACTGCTATACTAAGCAAGCAGATCTCAGTCCCTTCATCGGAGGAAGTGGAGTATAATGCAAAATAAGCTCAGAATGAAATAAATCTCTTAGTCTGAAAGAAACCACAATATTTTGTTTCTTTGTGTGGTTCCCCCTCTGTGAGCATTATTCATCAGGCTGGGCACTAGAGGACTTCTGGGAGGGGGAGAATCGATAGTTAACCTGAAGTTCCATTACAAAGGATCCATTTGAGGTGCACCAGTAGCATCAGATTTTACCCCCTAGACTAGAGGCTATAGAGTCACTCACTTTCCTCCATTTTGGCAAGTAAATTCTCCCTTCCCTTTTACTGGAAACCTGGGAGTCTGGATTCCAGTATATATATACACGGGATATAAATAAAATAAATAAATTGTATATATATATAAAACCACTCTTAACCGACCACATAGGCGGGATATAAATAAAAT